CACATAGTCCTTTAGCACTGTGTGGTCTTTAATTGCGACCACATCATGTTCAGAGAGAGAAGCTTCACTAAGCTTGTGACAATTTGAGTATTATATATAGGGCAATCTTACAAGACTGGCCTGAACTATTCCAAAAGAAAAGTGTGAGGGGTGCTACCAGCTGTGCACACAAATAACTTGGTTGGGGGAGCTTGTTTTTATGGTTTTGTATTTTACATCTGCGCAGTCCCAAAGTAAATATAGTTCTGTTGGGTACAACTGACTCACAAAACAGAGTATGTGGCTGACCTACCTTTGCTCTAAGTCTGCAATGTATCAAGCTATTCCATCTAGATTATGGAATTCAACCACTCCTGTTGTGTTTTTTACATTTTAATCACCACCCCTTTACTTCTACCCCTTTATCTAGGCAAGTAAAAGTGCAGAAAACATTTCTTTTGTCTACCAAGCTGAATTAATGCAGCAAGTATTTCATTTGCTGCTCCAAGCTGCCTGCTGATGAAAAAAAGCTAGTACCACTAGTGTCGTTCAAGACAGGCGGATATGATTATAGGCAGCTGTATGCTATCCTCTAGTCTTCAAAAGACATTGGTCTGCTATTTTCTTACCAAAGTACGTAGCTCAGGGGAGTTTTCCAAAAAGGGAAAATTAAGGTAATAAACAGACTAGTAATGTCAGCGAGGAGAGTATAGACAGCCACTTGTAATCAATGATAAGTTGCAGCTCTTTACTGAACTGTATTTTGGTATCATTTGAGTTATCTGTATAGCTGAGTTACTGGAAAGGTTTTAGGGGCTTGTTTCTTTTTTGTTCTTCAGGAACCACGAATCTCCACTGATGCATGAAGTTCCAGAGGACCAAGGCAGCAGCACAGACAGTTCAGCAAGCAGTTTGGGAAGCTCTGTCACAGCATGTAAGAAGGTAACTTCTAAGTTTACATTATATTCAAAGGCAGATATATCCCAGGTTATACCTTTGCTTTTTAGCTTTTGTCTTTATTGGGGAATACAAAATTCAACAGATAATTAAAAAAGAAAAGGACTAATGCAGAAAAATAATTTCTGGGTATTGCTAGGGTATCTTGAATTTTGTCTGCCTCATCTATGCTTGTCTGGTCCCAGAATATATTATACATATACGGGGTATAAACTCACCCTGAACTTTCCTCATTATCTGACAATATGAAATAAAAGCGGTGCATAGCATGAAAAACTTTAGGACTGCCCTTCAACAGGTGGCAGGTTTCTAGGACCCAGCCTGAGGGTCTAGAACTTTGCTTCTCTCAGATCAATACAATGGAGGGTCCTTCATGAAATGGCTTTTCTGCTTTCCCTGTTATCTGACTGGAAGGGTTTCAGTAGCCCAGGATGTAGCATAGATTTGACCATTGATGGCTTTGTTGCCTCAAAATGAGTTTATATGTAGTTATTTAATTTAGAGAATGTAGACAGGAAAAAAAGCAGTGCCTATATGTATACATATGTCATTAGGAGGAGCCAGATATGACTGAGATTATTTTATGAGTGTAGGTAATTTCAGTAGAACAGGGAATACACAGGTGAAGACCGTGGATGCTTCCTTTTATTCCTCCTCCCCAGGGCCAGGTTATGGCAGGACAGTCCAAGGGCAAGAGGCACTACCAAAGACTTATTGAGGAGGACGGGCCATCTTTCATCTCTGACTTTGCAACAACCCTCACAGCTCTACTGTCTCCCACAGGCCCAATTCTACAGATGATAAGAAAGCATTTGTTATAAAACTTCACAGTTCATTCAGTTTTCCCATAATTCTTAATTTTTTCTCCTTTTCCTTCCTTTAGTAATAATAATGCTTTCCTTTTGTGTTTTTTTTTTCTGGAATAAGAACAATATATATTGATATATGTAAGCAGAGAGAAAGATAAAACATGTAGAAGATAAAGATTTATTTTCCTAATCCTGAAAACCACACTGTGGGTGTGAGGGGTGAGTATTGTCTGTCTACAGAAATTTTATTAAATGTAAAATCATTGAGATAAAGAAGAACTCAATAGACTCATGTGTGTGCTGGGATTGGGCTTCTCCTTCTCACCCCAACAGGGCTAAAAGACAAAATATCAATGTTTCATTTGGTCAAAAGGTTTGTTTATTTGCAAAAGAATACCTGATTTTTTAAAAAAATGTTGCTGACTGTAATTGGAATCTTCATATAGGCAGAAAATCCACTGTGTGAGAGAACATCATAAATTTTTATTTAATCTCAGAGTCGTCTATTTTATGTAAGACTGAAGGACAGTGAGAAGTGCCACCACTGTGTTTACAAATGCCCCCAGCTTGGTAAATGTCATGGTCCAGGCCCAGCCAGCACAAAGCACCATGCAGCCACTCCTCACCCCACTGCCCAGTAGGATGGGGAGGGGAATTGGAAGAAAAAGGTAAAACCTGGTGGGCTGGGATAAGGACAATTTAATAGAGCAACACAAGGAGCGAAGAAAAAACAGTAATAACAATAATATGAATGAAATGGGATACAGCCCTGAACGGAAGAGGGGCCCAAGAAGATAGCTGGTTGTTATTCAAGGATCACCTCCTTCAAGCTCAGGAGCAATGCATCCTGACAAAAAGGAAGTCAGGCAAAAATTTCAGGAGGCCTGCATCGATGAACAAGGAGCTCCTGGACAAACTCAGACAAAAATGGAAGCCTGCAGAGGGTGGAAACAAGGACAGGTAGCCTGGGAGGAATACAGATAAATTGTCCAAACAGCCAGGGATCAGGTTAGGAAAGCCAAGGCCGTGATGAAATTAAACCTGGCCAAGGATATCAAGGGCAACAAGAAAAGTTTCTATAGTTATGTCTGTGACAAAAGAAAGACTAGGGATAATGTGGGCCCTCTCCAGAAGGAAATGGGAGACTTGGCTACCCAGGATATGGAGAAGGCTGAGGTACTCAATGACTTTTTTGCCTCACTCTTCACCAGCAAGTGCTTCAGCCACACTGCCCAAGTCTAAGAGGGCAACAGCAGGGGCTGACAGAATGAAGAACCACCCACTGTAGGAGAGGATCAGGTTCGAGACAGACTAAGGAACCTAAAGGTGAACAAGTCCATGGGACCTGATGTGATGTATCTGTGGGTCCTGAGGGAACTGGCAGATGAAATTGCTAAGCCATTATCCATACCTCAGTATGGTATGGAATAGCCCCTGGGCTAGTTTGGTTTGGCTGTGCCCTCCCCCAGCTTCTCATTAAAATTAACCCTATACTAGCTGAACCCAAGACAGTCACTTTCAGAAGAACCACTCTCTTAAATGCTAGCCTTTAGCACATGATTTAGGGCTGCCTCACTGATCTGATCCCTTATATTTGAACTTTTCATTGTAACACGATTTGATTTTATGACTGTTGGCACACTAAAAGAAGTGATTCACTTCTGCTAGCACTTCTGAAAAACAGCAGGAAATTTTGAGCTTCTTTACAACATTGTCAGAGAATGTGTTACCATTTTTTTTTAAGTGTGGAAAAAGATAAAGAAAAATAGGCCTTTACCTTCTCTTTTAGCCTCAGTTAGTTACAGTGATTTTTAAGTTAGATGTGTAATTGGTGGTGGCGTGAAACACTGAGTTCCTGCTGCAAGGGAACAGTTTAAACAGTTGAGTTACAGGTTAGAGTAGCTGTATTTGTCATGAGTGGCTCCTGTCAGGAACCATATGAGATGTGGCCTGTTACTACACAGACCAATCTGAACGAATTCAGACAATGTGCCCCTTGATATGTCATCTTATTCTGTCTGTCCCACTATCATATCTTTTTTGATGAGCAGTAATTAACCAAAGCAATTAAGATGATCAGCCATGAAGATGCAGATGTTTCATTTGTGGAGCAGAGCCTTTTTAATGTTGTCTTGGTTGTAGATATTTACTGTATTTTAATGTCTTATGATCTAAATCTGGGAGCAGGAAGCTGTTACACTAAACTCATATGCAATGTTTTCCTTTGGGAAAGCGTGACTTCTCTAATCCACACTCTGCTAGAGGCTGATTTAGTTCGTTGATTCATAACACTGAGTAATGCTGATGGCTGAGTCTCTAGATGAGAGTGGAAAACTTTTTTTTAGAACCATGAATTACTGCTGATTTCACATTTGGTGCATGATACAAATTCATCCTGAATTATTTTCTGAGTGTGATGATCCTGCTCTGAACCAGATATACAGCAGTATAGTGTGTGCAGCTGTTACACGTAAGGATGATCAATGAATCAAGTTCTGCTTTCAATTGTTCCATTGCAAATCAAAAGCAACCTCACTGAATTCAGCAAAATTGCTAACAATGTATATCAGTGGGATTGGCCCAGAACTTGTCTCAATTAGATAAGAATGAAGAGAAGCAGGAGATAAAATGAGGAAATTTGGCAAGTGATACTGTTTGCCTTAAAAGCGCAGGCTATGAAGAAGGATGCTGTCTGACAGCTGAAGTAGTACAGTTTATGTTTCTTATCTTTTGGTACAGACCAGCTCAGTATATTTTGAAAATATGTTTAAATGCAAAAATGGCAATTGGAATGTACAGGTAGAGTTACACCTCTGAGGAATACCAGTTCTCATGTTGCATTTGATTAATTAATTAGCCCTGTTAATTAGGCCAGCTTATTCAAGCTTATACACTTTTGATTATCGCAGTCATACATTATTTTATTATAAGGACCTCTGTATTGTCCTTTAAAAGCATTAATATCCCAGCAAATTTTAATACATATGCAAACTCCCAACACATGCACCTAGTTAACAGGGAGAATTGCCTTACGATAGCAAGATGCTGTAAGAAGTATTACATTCACTCTTACTGTGTGTTTATCTTTGACCGTGATAATATTGCTGTCTGTTACCAAAGAAATATGCCCGAAAGTTCACATGGCTTCTATATATGCATTTTTATATAGCAGGTGTGTCTAACCCTACTGCAATCAGCATTGCGGGGTGGCCCAAATTATCCTTCCTCCGTAGAAGTATTATTAATGGGAAGGTTCTAAGCGATAACATGTCTGTAACGGTCCTAATGCAGAAACTTGCATTTCATAAGGCAGAGTTGAAACTTATCCAAAGTTTACTCCTCATTCCTGCCACCACTTACTTTCCATCTCCTGAACACCATTCAGATATCTGTAAAACTACACCGTATGCAAGGAGGCCTCTTCCCCCATGTGTTCCTGCATCCCTCCCTTTCTCCCAGCGCTGTCTTTTCTGAGTAACTTCCGGAAGCTTTCCGGATGACTTTGGGCCAACCTATATTCCCAAGATTGCTGACCTCTGCCAGCTTCTGCCACATGGACTCAAGTATATCTGGTTTTGTTTTTCTCATCTGTCTTCTTCAAATCCAAATTGCTGCAAATTATTTTCTCCAATCTCCAGCAGTAAAAATGTTATGCCTATTGCACCCTTCTTCACATTTCTTGCTGCATTCTCATGTGCGCTTGAAGACCTACTTAAGCACACATGCTAGCAGAATCTATCCAGGGAAAACATCATCCTACTAATGTTTTTCATCTCCTTGAGGTTACTTAAAAATCACATGCTGACCAAAACTTCCATGTAATAATTTCTACCCTTGGCTTCAAAGTTTATTATGAAAAGCTGCATACAAAAATTAAATGTACTATAAAGCCTTGCAACTTATAAACCATCCTGGAGTGACCCAGGCTTGACAACTATGACCTGACTCAACTGAAACATCTGTTCAGGAGAGTTATTTGTTCAGGAGAGTTATTTCTTCTGTTGGTGCTTTATCAGTATTTGCTTCCTGATAAAAACCTCCTCTGAAAGAAAGAGAGCTACCAAGGGTCATTTAACATCCCACAGGAGGAAAAGTAGGTGAAGTTTGGACTGCCCAGCTGATTTCATGGGTTTATCATCTACAATATACATCTGCTATGATCTAGCTCTTCTGAAACATTGGGTGTGCACACCAAGTCCTTGTGAGACAAAGAAGAGTAATACCAGGGATTTATGAAGCTTGTTTCTGTGTGGTAATTTCTGGCTGTTCTGGTTTCTCAGAAACTGAGATTTGGGAAAGAAAGATCTAAAGTGATTAAGGCTGAAGACAAGTTCAGTGTGATTTTTAAGGAAATGCTTATTACAGCAAAAGTTATTTGAGCTAAAGAGAATTGTTTTCTATGTATGCAAAATTACAACTTAACAAGTAATTAGAACGTCGACCCTTGAGGATGAGAAGATCTAGAATCAGATAAAATCTGAAATTATATATATATAGGTAGAGATATACTTGTGTGTGCATGTATGTATATGTTCAATTCTTTATATCTTCATAAAAGCCTCAGAAGATGGTAATTTTTGGAAAAGAGGAAAAAAATGCTTGATTCTAGATTTTACCAACCCGTTTATAATGGTTCAGTATTTCCACATTTGAAAACATTTCTTAAAAGTAAAGCCAAAAAACCAGTTTATAACACTAACAGGAAATTGTTTCTTTGGAATATGAAATACATTATTTTCCTCAACTTGTCTCAGAGTTAGTTATGGTGGCAGGAATATTTTGCACTGAGACAGGAGGTTATAAAATTTACTGTGTGCAGAGTCATTCAACTGGTAAACAAGATTAGCTAACAGCCCCCAAGAGAAGACCGGTGTTGGTGTGAAACTTTCACGAGCCTTTGTCATTCTCATAAGAAAGTCTTTGGGTACAGTGCTTTTTCTGATTATTTTCTGAGCCCTGAATTTGTATTTGGAAGATCTTTGGAAGAAATCCCATAGCAGGGCTGGAGAAACAACCACCACAAAGGTGCAAAGCCTTTGTGGAGGGCACCAAAGAAGGGCACTGAAGCAGGCCAGATTTGTGGACTGTGGTGTTCCCCATTAGCTCCTCATCCATCTTCTGCTGACTTTTATTCAGAAATCAATATAGAATAATACAAGGAGTGCAGTATTAACTGCTTAACTGGCTTTCTGCCAGAACGATAAAAATTAGAGTGGGTGGTAGTCTGTGGGTGGTAATAAGCTTGCTTCTAGATTGCCTCTGAGTATTAGAAAAGTGTGTCAACTGACCAGATCAGCTTTCCATAGTCATTCATCTTCCCTGGGAAATGGCCTCACAAGTTCTTTTCCTAAGGAAGACATCTAGGCTTACGGATCAAGTGTTCCTGAAGTAGGACAAAGGTGTGTCAATGCAAAACATGCAGTAGGGTAAAGTACTGTGAATAGATTTTTTTCCAGGCAGAGCAAAAAATTTATATTTTAAAATGTCATTATTAAAATAAAAGGCTAAAGAGCTACAGTACGGCCTATTTCCATGTAATGCAAGAATTGCAAGAAGTACAAATAAAATACACATCCATTTCACAAATATATTTCTTAACATTGCTGCCTGGGGAAGATGATAAGCCATATAACACGTTCTGTAAGTAGCATCATTGTTGCAGCTATTCTTTTTCCCATTGTTACCTAGTTGTTTAAAATCACTAGGAGTCCCTCTTTTTTATGGAAGAATATTAGTACAGAGGCAGCAAATAAGGAATTCTGTTCAATCTAAGCATCAGACATGCAAAACTGGCTTTGACTCTTTGTACTCTACAGATATCTGTAAGCCCCAGCCCCATTTTGGTTTTGTTTGAGCAAAGCTTATGGCATAAGCTGTAGGACTGAGTCAACACAGAGAGATTAGACGCAAAGTTTTCGTCTCAGTCTCCTGACTGAGCTCAGTACTTATTACAGCAGGTCTTAAGTACTTTAACTTCTCAGAAAGCAGAAAAATGTGTTTAAGAACAAGGAGTTTTTGGCCTAGGCAGTCCCAAAAATGAGGCTGGTGGCAGAATGAATAGTACTGATCTCTCGTGGAGAGAGATACAGTAAATCATAAACGCTGCAAGTTTGTGCACTCTAGTATAATTAAATAAATAGATTTTGCAACATCTATATTTATTACTTTAACCTAGAACAAAACTCCTAGCAATATTTTCCAATAAAATGTTTGGTTTAGGCACGTCCTTCAAGTTTCTCCAAGGACTTTCAGTTCTGAAAGAAAACAGGCTAATACTTTAGGGGATATATAAATCATTTAAGGTGCACTAACTGAACAGGTCCAAAAGGAGCAGGGGTCCCAGTCTTGCCCCTACAAAGTTTCGTAGGCAAGATTTCCTTTGAGTTACAACAATGGTGTTCAGGCCCCCAAAGCACAGCAGGACTGAGTAAATTTTTAAATTATTTTAACTATTTTTAACTATTTTAACAGATTCTCTGCAGTAACAGTCTGCTAGAATCAACAGACTACTGGCTGCACAATCAGAGGACACCATGCCAAATTGGCTTTCTGGAAGACAAGTCAGAAAGCAACTGTGCCTCAGTAAGTATTCACTGTAATCTCCTCTGGGGAAAAGTCCATTGAAAGTTATTTGAGTAGGGTGTGGGGCCAACCACAGTACATGATAAATTAAAAAGCGTCAGTGACTAACTGACACTGAAATTATAGCAATCTATCTATAGTTTCTCTAATTTCCAGCTTTCTGTTAAAAGCAAACATGCCTACAGATTTCTATACAGAGCACATTAGTAAAGACTACTGCAGAGATTTCCTCACATTTAGCTTTCAGACTTTGTGACCCTCTGTTCGTTTTATGTTCATAATCTACAACTGACAAGACAGAAAAATAAGCCAAAGAGAAAAGAGAAAATTATTCCAAACCGTAACTTGTTATGTGGCATGTTGGAAAAAGCAGATGTTTAAAAGGCTGCTCAATGTTCTTGAAGGCACAGAGACCCAATTAAAAAGAAGACCTTTTCCATGTTAGATGTGGAGAAGCTGCTAAAGAACCCAAACAGAATTATTTTTGCATTTGAAATTAAATTTAAATCTCACTATTGTGGGTCATAATGCAATTAAGAATAGCTTTTGGTTAAAACCATACATGAAGAAATAGGAAGTTTTGTGTTGCTTTACACACCAGCTACATGAAACTGCATGGAAGTACATTGCTGTGATTGTAATGGATTTTTATTTGATGAAAGAGCATTCTGCATGCATTCTCCCAAGCAAAGGGGGTCACAGTATTAGGAAGTACAAACATTGTTCAATTCCAACTGAAATGCTGTCACTTGAACAGTATCCCGAATGCATTCTTAACCAGAACGGGGTCATCAGGCAGGTAATCAGTGGTATCCTTGCTGTTTGATATAGGAAAAGATTGCTTTTAATGCAAAAAAATATTGACCACAGTCACTTGGTTTTATTATTTAGTATTTCATATCCTAAAAAAAGGCTTATTTTCTCAGAGGATATGATTACTTCAAATAATAATCTAAAAATTAATTTTAATTACTTTTTTATATGTTCAACTTGGACTTTATTCTCCATATTCCTTTGGATCTTATAGGACATTATATCTATCTCCTATAGAATGGAGCTACCGACAAAAGATAGCTTGTTAAAGCAAGACAATACTCAGATTTGATTTAAAAATGCCCAGTATAGCTTCTTGATACACACTTTTCCTCTTGAAAGCACAGATCAGGTTTTATCTAGCCCTGGTCAGTCACCTTGTCAGGAAAATAAGCCTTACTTTTACCATTCTGCAGATGTGAGAGAAGAGGCAGAAGTACTGAAATGACTTTTCATTACAAATCCAGAAGGCAATTCTGAGATAAGGGGTTTCAGCAAGTCACAGACCCAAATCTCACATGTGCTGAATGCCCACAATTTTCCTTGGCAAAGTCATGAAAGGTGATAATTTTCTTTTAATCCCTTCTATCAAAGAAAAGACAAACAAGACAAAGCTCTTTCCTAAGAAAACAGCTTGTGTTACTATTGTGTGATGGTGTAGTTCTGCCTGTAGGCAGATGGTGGGCAAAGGTGCTCTGTGAGGCTTCCAGGGTCCAGAACTGCCCCACAGTTCCTAACACCATCCTAAACTACCAGACTCTGACTGACCCCTTTCTTACATGGGAGGAATATTAGAATATGATTCGAAACAAGGTCTGCCAAGCACCTTCTCTCATTGCCTACTTCTTGCGTAGTGTACATGCAGGAGAGTCAGCTTTCCCTGTATGGCTTTCCGAACACAGTGCCAACTCTATACACGCAAAAGGTTCTGCAATTTTCAAAGCAAAATTTTGGTGCCTAGTTGATTCTGCAATTTACAGTTACCACTATAGAAAAAAAGAGATTATATTGAAAGAATTTTGTATTACGGAGATTGAAGTGGAATGCACAATAATAAATTGAGTGTAATCAAAAGATCATATATAAAGAGCATTAATTTAGAAGATAAGAAGTTAAATATTATTTTGGAACATCACTGTTCACATCAAGATAAAAGATATTTGGTGGCCTGGAAGCTTAGTTCTTGGTCTGTCCCTGGAAATTATGCTTTTGAGTTACTGTTAAATAGTTACTTATGCACTGTTATGAGCAGTAGTTTTGCTCACATTCCTGGTTGATTTATTCTGAGTGGCAGTACAGTACAGAATTTTAATTTGGGTGTCTAAAACATTGCACAACTGATGTAAGTACAAGCAGTAAACTAGAAAACTGACATTCATCATCAAACATGATATGTAGATCAGAGCATAAGCACATGTATTTTTTGGTCTTGAGAATTGCTTTCACTGTCTTAGATATGTGGGTGGTTCATTTGGCTGTGCACAGTACATGAGCAAACTAGGGAACAGGGAATACTTAACCACTGTGCAAGGATTAAGCATTGGTTCAGTATCATACTCAGAATTTGCAAAGCATTTCATTCTGAGTCTTTTCCAATACTGACACTAAACAAGCAGAAGCTTCAGGAATGAAGGAGGAGGAAGGATATGAACACGGAATAGTTTCCTCAGCTTCTCAATTAGCAAGCAAACCAGACTGCCCTTAGCAGAAAATATGTTCTATGTTCTCTTTCATACGCAAGATTTTATAAATTGCTGCTGCCAATGGTGTGAGAGGTGTTTTGATCAAACTGTCTCTGAAAGTTGTCATTAGGTTTGCAGAAGGAAAAAAGAAATCTCAAATGTGCCATATCATTAACAGTTGCTTTTCCCAAAGATAGCTGGTAATACATTTAGCTATTGTGTTGTTTTCATTTGAAAGTGTCTGTATTTAGTTATAAGGGATCTAATCTTACGGTAACTATGAATGCAACAAGACGATATGAATATGAAGATGATAGCTTTCATAAACGTTATATTCATTGTGTCCCATTACAGATTAACATAGTTAGTGCAAGTAAAAATAGACTCATGGCTGTCCTACATGTGCTCACCAAGTATACTAACATTGGTTTATTAAAAGACTAAACATTTAACTCAGTTATAGCAGACTATCTTTTCAAAGAGAAAATACTTTTTAAAGCAGATCAGGCATTTTGGTACATGTAATAGTCCATTCATTTCCAAACTGGTTAATGAAAATGTAAAATGTAGCCATTATTATATGAAAATACTAATTGTCTTAGAGGAAGAGTATTTCTTATTTGCTTAAGCTGGAAATATCCTGAGCTCTGAAAATTGTTATTTCAAATTCTGGTACCTCACCATAATAGAAGAAATGCTAGTGTGTCCATATTTAATCCAATGTTTCTGGCTATCTGCAAGAATGAACAATAGAAATCATAAGGAGAAATAATAGCAAGATATGGTGTCTGTTCTCTATTTTTATGCAAACTTAGTGGTATGTGGTGAGTTGTCTATGAAAAGAAGTGTTACATGCATAATGAGCAAGTATGATGTGAACAGAGTTTGAAAGATTGTCCTGTCCTAACCTTAATTTTCTACTTTCTGTACATATTATTTTTGTCCAGTTCTCTGAGTTTACATATAGTCAACCATATCAGATACACTAGGATTGAGTCCAGGGGGATAGGGCTAACTGTTTTAGGTTATTAGGGCTTTCTAGGGAATATTCCCGCAGAGGCTAGTCAGGAAGGGGCAGCTGAAAGAAATTTCTTTGTCTTTGAAGTGAAGGCACAGTGGGAGACAGTAAGGTAAGTCCTAGGTAGTAGAGGTGTTTGGTTTTGTTTCTGTATTGGAATAAGAAATCCTACCAGCTCTCTTTAAAACATCCCTGGGTTGAAGTGTGCTTCCCTCCTTATTTTAGATGACCCCATCTGATTTTGCCATGCTGTCTGCTTAAAAAGGTTAAACTCCCTCAAAGAACTTCTTCTACATCGATGTTAGGAGTGCTTTTTTCCTCTTCAGAGAATATTTGAGTAATTGCTAAACATTAAACTTAGTTCAATTAATAATGATACTCTATAGCAGCGTTTTACCACTGCAGATTAGAATAGCGTTTCATGCTAATATCATAATTAGATAGTATATATTTTAAAGGTAGTTTATTTATAGAAGTCTTTGTTTCCACTGAATGAGAACTTAATCAAAATCCACCTACTAGAATAAAATACATGGATTCATGAGACATAATCATTCGTAAGCTGCACACAGTGACTTATAAATGTGATTAAAATATCTGTAATGTGCCATTCTTATAGCCCCATGGAGACACCTCATAAAAGAGATTTAGTTTCACGTAAATATTTGTACCTTAGTCCACTCCATTATTGCCAGCTATCTTTCTCTGACCTACATCAAGTGTTCCCTGCTTTGGACACATTTTTAAGCAAACCTTATTTGAAAAGAAAAAACTGATAGATACTTTGTCCCTGCTTCCACTCCAAACATCTAGATTATTTAATTACCCGTGCTGAACATTTGTGGTTGGCTTATGTTAGTGCAAGTTAAGAAATTTAAATTCTTTAATTAGACAATTTATAGTTTCTTCTAGCATTGGACTCTCATAAAGCAAAAAGTCTTAATCTTGCACACAGAAAAGTCATTTATGATTCTTCTTAGCAGTTCCTAAGATTTGACGTTTTTTCTTTTCAATGCCTTGCAGTAAGTGTCAGTGTGATTAAGGTGGTACTGCCACACTGCTAAAGATGTATCTTAACTGACTTTTAGGAATTCTTAATGAAAATAGTTACTTAGAAAAAAGTAGGATACAAAAAAAAAAAAAAAAAACACAAACAAAAAAATGGTAGCATAGGCCTGAAAGACATTTGGCATTCGTTTAGTTCAAGTTGTATAAATCATAACACTGAATTTTCCAGAAATTCTATGGACTTTCACACTCTAGAGCAGCAACGGATAGAAAAGCCATTAGAAATTATATTTGCACTGAAAAAATATTTTCTCTCAAAATGGACACAGAATCCGATAATCTCCCTACAAAATGTGACATCATGCCCTCTCCCTCTTCACATGACCATCTTGTCTCAACCTAGAGGCTGGGAATCAGGCCTTCCTGCTCCACACAACCTGACAAGGAACTGCACTTGAGAACCACTGATCTAGGGAAAT